TCCTTATAAATGCCTAATTTACAAACTGAGGTCTGTAGGCTTAGACCATAGAGTTTGTTTATGGATAGAAAACTGATTACTCAGAGCATCCAGAGGGTGGTGATAAATAACGTGTACTCAGATTGGTCTGGAGTGGTAAGTGGGGTATCCCAGGGCTCTGTCCTGGGGCCAGTTCTGTTTAATTAATCCATAAATGATATAGAGGTTGGTATAAATAGCTCAGTCTCAGTGTTTGTTGACGATACAAAACTAAGCAGGGCAATAATTTCACAGCACAATATAAAAACTTTGCAAGAAGACCATAAAAAATAAAGGGGTAGGCAACTACATAGCAAATGAGGTTTAATGTTGAAAAATGTAAAGTACTACTCTTGGGGGTTAAACATATGAACGCAAGTTACCCACTAGGGGTAAAAAATAATCCTGCCTCTTTATAGAACTCTGGTTCGGCCATATCTGGAGTATGCAATTCAGTTCTGGTCACAAATCCTCAGCAAGGATGTGCTTGAGCTGGAGAGAGTCCGGAGAAGGGCAGCAAAATTAACAAGGGGGCTGCAGGAGGACCTCAGTTATGAGGAACGACTCTAAACATTAAACTTATTATATTCCTGGAGAGGAGATGCTTGAGAGGACATATGATAGCAATATACAAATACTTCAATGGTGATTCTAGCAAAAGGAATAAACTAAATAGTCTCAGGGAGTAGAAGAAGATATGAGGCCACTCATTGTAATTGGAGAAGTGGTTAACCTTAAACTGAGTAGGGATTTTTCACTGTCAGGGTGGAAAGTATGTGGATGTGGTCGATGGGAATCTCAGCAAGCACAATATACAGGGATATGGGATAGACTTTTTTACAGGAACACACACACCCCCACACCCACACAAGTTCAACTGGTGTCCTTCTTCAACCTTACTAACTGTGTAACTATGGAGGGGTTCAGTCTGTCCAAGCATCTCAGTCAGACGGCCATCATCTATTTTCACAAAACATACAAGTTTATCTGCAATTCTCATTAATGTAGAAATATTAACCAGTATTAATGGCTGTGGATTTAATAAGATTCTACAGAAAAGATGTGTAATTAAGATACGGATGTGGAATGCTGCTGGACCAGTAATCCCTGATAAAACAGAACTCAACCTACTAAATCTCAGAATGCCGCAGGAAAATATTCTAATTATGCACTGACGTTCCCTATTCAGATAAACAATGCAAATTTCCAAATGATTATTATAAAATTAACAACTTTAAGTAGCTATAAATTATTTTTTCTTTTAAAAAAAACTTTATATTATGTAGGTTAATTATTTTCAACTAAAGTTTTGCAGCTCATTGACTGATTGCTGCATGTGTGTGTTTATTGAGATGGATACATATAACAATGTTTTAGAAATGTAAATTCTCAGTGTTTTTTACATCTCTCTTGATATACTTACCACAATTTCCTATTTGAAGTTAAATATTCTTTTAACTTTGCTAAACAATACTTGCAGCCCAATACAGTTCTAAAGACAAGCATAAGGGTTGGGTGATTTAGCTAAGCAGAGCCACAAAACCATGACTTCTTATTAGGACTACAGCATGTTATGTGGTGCTGAAATCTATGTAGTTGTTTAGCAGTACCCCTGCAAGAGCTGCTGAATTTTCTTCCCCCAAACAGTACAGAGGCCACCATCCACTCAAGCAACAGTCCATTCACTACGGCTCCAATAAATAGTCTATGGGTTGTCTTTTTGTGATTTATTGCTTCTAGAACTCTAACAGGAGAGGGATTGGGGCATGTGATACATCAAAAAGGCTGACAACATCAATGAGAGGACAGTCTGTAACCTTACAGCTGAGGACCATGAGGTATCTTTCTGGACAGTCTCAGAGCCCCACAGCTGGGAACCATGAGGCAGGTCTCTTTGGCACCTGGTTACTCTGCACAGTTGCACAGCTGTAGGTAACCAGTGCAACTGTAGGAACACTGCACAGTTTACAAAGCTCACAGTCCAGGACACTGCTGAGGACAGGGGAGAATGGCCAGTATCTGAGACCCTATGAGAGTAGCATCTGGCACACAGCCATCAATCAATTCAGAGTCATTATTCACATGTCCCCAGGACGGCTGCCACCTTCCATATTCCTCTGGACACCTGAGTGAGAAAAATCCTTCTCAAGACCAGATCCCTTTAGTGAAGTCCTGCAGCCAGTTCCAGGTCCCTTCCAGGCAGGGGCGGACTGACAACTCATGGGGCCCCTGGGCAATAGGGGATCATGGGGCCCCTGTTCCCTTGCCCAAACTCAAAAAAGCCTATGAAAAAAGGTACCAGGGGCATCTCATGGGGCCCCCTACTGACCCCGGGCCCTCGGGCAGTGCCCGAGTTTCCAAATGGTCAGTCCGCCCCTGCTTCAAGGTCTCCTGCTAGGAGACCTTTGGAGAACAGCACAATCCATCACAATCCAAGGCTTACCTCAGAGGGGCAACAGCTCCCTCTAAGGCTGTAAACTTGTTCGGGAAGACATTCTCTCCAGGGCTTTAGATTATTTATCAGCTAGCTTCCCCAGCTACTTTCTGGGCTCACCTCATCAAGGATTGGCTAGGCCCAGATAAATACGGTGGTTATTTGAATTTTACCTCCCTAAGCTCTAGTAACCTCTTCTAGAGGCAGGGCTGGAATCAATCAAACTCCCAGCCTGTGAAACCTTGAACAGACAAAAACAAACAAACAATCTCCCTTGATTACAGAAGCAGCCAAAAACTAAAATGTATCTAGCAGCCTAACTAGGAGGGTACTACAGTCATATTCAAGGAACTTTAACAGAGCATTTCCACACTCCTGATGCAGGAGTCCTGGGTGCACATTACATCCACTGCAATGTTGTGTTTTGGACGCCAACCTAGGATGTGAAGAAAACATTTACTGTTAATCACAAATACAGTGATGTTTCCCCTGATCCGGGTGCTAAAGTCCATACACCTCTCTTGGTATCCTCTGGCCAACCCTTCTCCTACTGGCTCAGATTTAATGAAAGCTGTTTTTCCCAGTAGTGCACCATTTCAAATCTTACTAGCCCCACTTACTTCTTTATAAGCATAACTCTTATACCCTCCATCTGTTAAATTTTCCACAAGTTTGCTCTTCAAAAGCGTTGTAATGTAAAAAATACATGCAATGTAAAAATATATAGGTTAGCCACCTGAGCCATTGGAATGATTATGTAATTTGCAAATACGTAACCTACTGCTGAGATAAGATATCTGCCACACAGAAAACTTAGAAAATGCACGCACAGGCTACAGCATACATAAGTTGAATTTACTAACAAGGTGCAATCTTATATATGTGTGTTCCTGTGTCCAGGCAATGTGTACTTCAGGAGTGAAATATGAATTCCTGTAACCCAGGATGGGGGAGGGGGGAAATAGGGGATATGGGGAGATTAGGGTTAATCAGAAAATTGTGCTTTAATCTGGCCATAAGTGGACTGAAATTCAGCCAGTTCAGCAGGGACCAGCCAAATTTCAATCCATCTATGGCCAGTTCCAATCAAGAAGAGCTGATCTAATGTTCAACTTTTCTCAAATGGGACTGCTGGTAAATTTTGTTTCACTCAGCGCTTGCAGCGCTGATCAGTGTATTCTGACAGAGGATTCCCACTGTCAAACTACAATAGCTTGACAGGGAGGAATTCTGCATCCACCTTGGGTGTTTGGATGGGGGAATCCGTTCAGATCAGCACACTGGCTGATCGAAAAAAATCAGATCTGCAACACATACAGTATGTGCACAGTTCTTTGTTTAGTCCAAAGTCCTTATCAGGAATACTATGTTATGTCAAATCATTAAGTTTGACTGATGACTCTTTGGGTACCCTTTATTGCCACAGCCTACATGAAAGTGGCAACTCTGCTCTAAATTCAGGAGAATTTAATGAAAAGCACTTCTGGCCAGACTTCTCCGCACAGTAGATGGATGTACCTGGGTCCCATTGGTCTCCGCCAGTTTTGTGCTGATGGCACTGCCGGACATCTTCCGATGCTAAAGGGAAGTAAGCATGATGTGTCTTTCATCTGCTGCATTAGGTTTCCTTGGTCAACCATTGCGTCTATGGTCCTCATGGCTGCCCGTTTCTTTGTGTTTCTTCAAAAGAGCTTTAACAGCACACTGGAAACCCCAGTCTGCTTTTGCCTGGGAGAGACCTTGCTGATGCAGTATAACTTCCTTTTGTCTTGTTGACGTGCTCAGGCTTGCCATGATGTATGACCTGTGACATGAAACTGTCTTTCACAGCCTCACCTTAGTAGCAGAGTTTGGCTGTTCCTTACCCAGTTTTAAGCTGTTCCTTACACAGCTGTTTCAAGTAATGACTGTGTTTCAACCTACATATAAAATTGATGATCCTTAGCACCTGCCTGGTATACTTGGTAACTCATACACCTGACTCTAATGCTACAAAATCCCTGACTTTGTGCAGGTGTACAAAGTATGCCATTGTAAGAATTTATGCTGGTTTGAAGCAAAGGGGAAGTCACGCCAAGCATTGATTTAGTGAATGAGGAAAGAACAAACAGAGGGCGCACAGGCCTAGAGCATTAACATGCACACTTTGTTGCCCTCAATAGACCGGGGAAATCCAAAATATACTGAGTGAGGAAAGAAAAACACAGAGGGCGCACAGGCCTAGTGCATGAGGTTGTAGCCTGCATCGAGTCCATCCCCAAGTGCAGGAGCATTTGTGTTTGCAAGCATTGATTTAGACCAGGTTCACACTGATGCAGTGTGGGAAATGCTGTGAATACTGTGCATTTCCCGCACCGCATTGCAGTCACATGGGGTTCATGCGATCTAGTGTGGGTGACAAAGTTAATGTAATGACTAGAGATGAGCGAAGAAATGAAAAATTTGATTCGACTGATTCGGCGAATTCGTGGACAATATTCGATTCGAGTCGAATAAATTCGCTGTGAATTTAACTTAAAAAAGGGTGTTTCTAGGCTTCAGAGAGACTTAATATTAGTGCAGAACACTGTACCTTTAATTTAAATGCCCTTGGAGTCTGCTGGGGAAGAGAAATAATACTGTCACTCAGTATGACATGCAGATGAGTGCCGTCGATCTTAGAATCACCGCACACTTCACTTCATTTGGCCAGTCACGGGGCCAAAACCAGTGTTTGGAGCCACAGTGTGGCGGTGGAGGCAGCAGCAATGGGAGGCCATACAGCAACCTATGACAAAATGGAAACCAGCAGGAGTGTGAGGAGACCTGAAAGTGGCACATGGCAGAGTGGGAGCAATGGGAGGCGGTACAGGGACCCAGGTCACACTGTGGGCCCAGCAGCAGCGTGACCAGGCGGTACGGGGGCCCATGGCAGATTTGGGGCCTGGCAGCACCTATGGGAGGCCTGTAACCTGCCAGCAACCTATGACAAAATGGAAAACCGCAGGAGTGTGAGGAGACCTCAAAGTGGCACATGGCAGAGTGGGAGCAATGGGAGGCGGTACAGGGACCCAGGTCACACTGTGGGACCAGCATCAGCGTGAACAGGCGGTACGGGGGCCCATGGCCGATTTGACCTCGTTCATCCCATAGTCCTGCCGACTCACGAATAGCGTGGCCTCCTCAAAGGGCCTGAGCAAGCGCAGGTGTCACGCATGAGCTGACAATGGCTGACATCTAAGTTACACAGGGAGTACCTTTATCCGCTTTTAACATCAGGAAATCTGTGATGGCCTTTCGCTGTTCGTAAAGGCGGTCTAACATATGTAGTGTTGAATTCCACCTTGTTGCAACGTCACAGCATGAGGAGTCGGTACGGGGGCCCATGGCAGATTACGTGCCTGGCAGCAGCAATGGGAGGCCCGTAATCTGCCAGCACCCTATGTCAAAAAATTGAACACACCAGCAGTGTGAGGAGACCTCAAAGTGGCACATGGCAGAGTGGGAGCAATGGGAGGCGGTACAGGAACCCAGGTCACACTGTGGGCTCAGCAGCAGCGTGACCAGGCGGTACGGGGCCCATGGCCGATTTGGGGCCTGGTGGCACCTATGGAAGGCCTGTAATCTGCCAGCAACCTATGACAAAATGGACAACCGCAGGAGTGTGAGGAGATTTCAAAGTGGCACATGGCAGAGTGGAAGCAATGGGAGGCCGTACAGGGACCCAGGTCACACTGTGGGCTCAGCAGCAGCGTGACCAGGCGGTACGGGGGCCCATGGCCGATTTGGGGCCTGGCGGCACCTATGGGAGGCCTGTAATCTGCCAGCACCCTATGACAAAATGGAACCCTGAGCTGGGGCAGGCAGAACCGCCGTATCTTTATCACGGTTTTCCCAGGCCACCGAATGGCGACGCTGCATATGCTGACGCAACGCTGTCCATGGCCGTTGCCTCCACTGACACTGCTGCGACCCTGCTGCCATTACCCCCCCTCCTGGCAGCAGCAATGGGAGGCCGTACAGGGACCCATGAGAGACTCTGGACTTGGCAGCAGCATGAGGAGGCGGTAATATAGGGGCCCATGGCAGATTAGGGCCTGGCAGCAGCTAATAGGAGGCCCGTAATCTGCCAGCACCCTATGTCAAAAAAATTCAAAACACCAGCAGTGTGTGAGGAGACCTGAAAGTGGCACATGGCAGAGTGTTGCGATGGAGACAGCAGCAATGGAGGCCGATATAGGGACCCATGAGAGACTCTGGACTTGGCAGCAGCATGAGGAGGCGGTATATAGGGGCCCATGGCAGATTAGGGGCCTGGCAGCAGCTATAGGAGGCCCGTAATCTGCCAGCACCCTATGTCAAAAAATTCAAAACACACCATCAGCAGTGTGAGGAGAACCTGAAAGTGGCACATGGCAGAGTGTGGCGATGGAGACAGCAGCAATGGGAGAGCCGTATAGGGACCCATGAGATGACTCTGGACCTGCAGCATCAATGAGGAGGCGGTATAATAGGGCCCATGGCAGATTAGGGGCCTGGCAGCAGCTATAGGAGGCCCGTAATCTGCCAGCACCCTATGTCAAAAAATTCAAACACACCAGCAGTGTGAGGAACCTGAAAGTGGCACATGGCAGAGTGTGGCGATGGAGACAGCAGCAATGGGAGGCCGTATAGGGACCCATGAGAGACTCTGGACTTGGCAGCAGCATGAGGAGGGCGGTATATCAGGGGCCCATGGCAGATTAGAGGGGCCTGGCAGCAGCTATATGGAGGCCCGTAATCTGCCCAGCACCCTATGTCAAAAAATTCTACACACCAGCAGTGTGAGGAGACCTGAAAGTCCCCCACCCCCCGGCACATGGCAGAGTGTGGCGATGGAGACAGCAGCAATGGGAGGCCGTACAGGGACCCATGAGAGACTCTGGACTGGCAGCAGCATGAGGAGGCGGGGATATAGGGGCCCATGGCAAGATTAGGGGCCTGGCAGCAGCTAGGAGGAGGCACCGTAAATCTGCACAAGCACCACTAAACTCAAAATAAATTCTACACACCAGTCAGTGTGAAGAGACCTGAAAGCTGGCACATGGCAGAGTGTGGCGATGGAGACAGCAGCAATGAGGAGGGCCGTACATGGCACCATGAGAGAACTCTGCGTGCCACCTCGGCAGCCAACGCATGCAGAGAGGCGGTATACAGGGGTCCCATGAGTAGAGTATAGGGTGCCTGGCAGCAGCTATAGGGAAGGCTACTCGTAATCTGCCAGCCACACCTATGTCAAAAAAAGTGAAACACAAACCAGCATGTGTGGAGGAAACCTGAAAATTGGCACACTGGCAGAGTGTGGCGATGAGAGAACAGCAGCGCAAATCGGGATGGCCGAACATGGGAACACATTGAGACAGACTCTGGACCTTGGCAGCAGCATGAGGAGGTCGGTTGAGAATAGGTGCCTAGGGCAGATTAGGGGCCGGCTAGCAAGCGATAGGAGAGCCCAGTAATCTGGCCAGCAGACCAACTAGTGTCAAAAAATTCTACCACACCAGCATTGTGAGGAGACCTGTTCCT